TGGAGGAGGAGGAGGAGGAGGGGACAGTGGTGGTGGTGGTGGTGGTAGTGGGCAAGGGAAGACGGAAGGAGGGTCCTGCAGTGAGAGGTAACGGTGACCTTTTGCCTCAAGGTTTCGTTCAAGAAGGAATCAGCGCTGGATCCCCTCCTCTGCAACCTCGCGAGCTTCAAGACCTCGGCGGATCTCTCCGCAAGGATCTTAAGCTTGTACGAGGTCTGGACCCTTCTCATGTCCCTTGCCTGCTGCGATCTGCCTGTCTCCTTGGCCTCCTGCTGCCTCCTCCATCCCCCTCTCCCTTCACTCTCGCTCCTGCAGCCTGATGCCTCACTGCCTGCTCTTCTCCTTCCCTGTGTTACCTCCTCCGCCCTCTGCCTTCGTGCTCTGATCAACCCGCTCGTCACCAGAAGCTCGACCTGGACAGCAACGGAGAAAGTGAGCAAGGGGAAACGTTTGAGGGAGGAAGGGGATGGGCGAGGGGGACGAACGAAGAGGAGGAGGAGGAGGAGGAGGAGGAGGAGGAGGAGGAGGAGGAGGAGGAGGTTGCTGACGCAGAGCCAGTCACGTTCAACGAGCTTGCAGATGGCCTGAAGAAACTCACCCACAACTCGAAGGATGCTCAGGTACGAGACCTTGACAACCTCTCAAACCTCTGCGAGCTGCTGACGCCCTGCCGGACTCGTTCCCTCCCTCCTCCTCCACTCCCCCCCCCTTTCCTCCCTCTCTCTTGCTCCCCTTCCCTCCCTCCCCCTCTCTTCCTCCCCTTCCATCCCCGACTTACTTTCCGCTCGTGGGTCAGATTCACCTCTCTCCCGATGACTACCATGTCCTCACTGCTGGGCCCAACTTCTCCTTCTGCAACTCCAACGGATGTCTAAGGTCCCTGTTCCTGCCCCCTGGACGCACGTCGCTTCTCCTCCTGCTCCTGCTCCTGCTCTTCCTGTCCTGCTCCTCCTGTCTTGCTCCTGCTCCTCGAGTCCTGCCTCCCCCCTCTCTCCCCGTCAGCTGTACTTGCTCCCCTCTTACCCCCCACCCAGTCTCTTCTCCCTCTTGCACCCGGCTTGTCGTTCCTTCTCGTTCCTGCCTCCTCCTCCCCGCCCTCCCTTCCCTCTCTGATTCGCCGTCTCAGTTCGGAAGGTTTCGAGGAGATGATGCGTTACCATCTCGTGCTCTACGTCCAGGTCGCCTGCCTGCCTGCCTGCCTGCCTGCCTGCCTGCCTGCCTGCCTGCCTGCCTGCCTGCCTGCCTGCCTGCCTGCCTGCCTGCCTACCTGCCTGCCTGCCTAGCTGGCTGGCTGGCTGGCTGGCTGGCTGGCTGGCTGGCTGGCTGGCTGGCTGGCTGGCTGGCTGGCTGGCTGGCTGGCTGGCTGGCTAGCTGGCTGGCTGGCTGGCTGGCTGGCTGGCTGCCTCTCCTCTGTCCCCATCTTTATCCCTCTGACAACCCCCTTCAGCGTCAGCTCGCTGCTGGCATCAGCAACGAGAGTCATGATCACAGCAACTCATCCACAGCAGCTGCTCTTTTCGGGCTGAAGGTGGGACAAGAGGAGGAGAGAGGAGGAGGGAGGAGGAGGGAGGAGGAGGGAGGAGGAGGGAGGAGGAGGGAGGAGGAGGGAGGAGGAGGGAGGAGGACACAACAGTGGTGGTGGTGGTGGCGGCGGCGGCGATAGCGGACAGAGTGGTTCGGGGTACTTGGGAGGGCTGATCGCTCCGCAGTTGCTGATGTTGGAGAATCAAACCAAGCCTGCGTCGTCTGAGGGATGCGAGAAGTTCTTCTGTGACGGTGGAAAGTGGGAAGACGACACAGAGAGCAACAGGCAGTTGTTGGATCGAGTGAAGAAGCTCGAGGAGCAGGTGGCCGAACTCTTGGCAGCGTCGGAGAGAAGCGACATACTACGAGTGAAGGTGAGGATGCAGAGGAGGAATGGGGAGAGAGAGGAAGAGAAGGGAGGGAGGGGAGGGAGGGGAGGGAGGGGAGGGAGGGGAGGGAGGGGAGGGGAGGGGAGGGAGTGGAGGGAGGGGATTCTCACATGAACGGTCAGATCGAACGACTGCTGAGCTTGAAAGGGATCAGCATGCCGGAGACCAACGGGAAGGAGGTGAGAGGGCGCTGGTGGGACGGGAGGAGGAGGGGGAGGAGGCAAAAGAGGCACCCAAGGGAGGCTCCATAACTCCTCGACTGTTCTTAGGATCCTGTTGCTGCTCCAGCTGGAGCTGGAGCTGGAGCTGGAGCTGGAGCTGGAGCTGGAGCTGGAGCTGGAGCTGGAGGAGCTGGAGGAGCTGGAGGAGCTGAAGCTTCTACTGCTGCTTCTGCTACTGCTGCTTTTCCTCCTCCTCCCGCATCTTTGGCCTCAATCAATTCGCATCGCCTTCTGAGTTCTCTCTCTCCGGTTGAACCCAGTCAACGACAATCTGACATTCTGCTGGAGGCCCCTCCCCGTACCGCGAGGGTAAGCTTCTCTGCCTTCCTAGTCACTCCTCCTTCCCGTTGCTCCTGCTCCTGCTCCTGCTCCTGCTCCTGCTCCTGCTCCTGCTCCTGCTCCTCTTCATCCTCGCTCGTCCTTTCTCATCCTCCTCATCCCTAAACCTTTCCCCCATTGCTGCCTCTCCCCTCTCCTTGTCCTAATTTTCTCACGTTCTTCCTCGCAGGAAGCATGGAAGCAGCATAGAAAGGTCTGTCGCTCTCGAGTGCCCATCCCCCTCCTGACATCTTGAGTAGCTGGCGAAGGCTGCAGCGGTGGCTGCGGCGTTGGAGGCAGGAGGAGGAGGAGGAGGAGGAGGAGGAGGAGGAGGAGGAGGAGGAGGAGGAGGAGGAGGAGGACATCGTGACGAAGGAAGGAACAGAGAGCGACGAAGAGGAGGAGGAAGAAGAAGAGACGTTAAGGGATACAGCGAAGG